TGCCGCCAATCAGGAAAAAACCAGCGACTGTCAACAGCATTCAATCCCCAAACAGACGGTTTTACAGAGCGAATGAATCAGTAAATCTTGGTCTACCTACAGGCATTTGTTACATACACACAATTTGACTGGAAAGAGCTACTCCTATGCGCTATGCTAGCGTTGAACAATAGAAAGTCAGCCGCACATGGAATGAGCCCATTTTTGATCGAACATGGCTACCATGTAGAACCAATTCACCAACAAGAAGCTTTTAGTTTCCCTTCAGATCCGGCAAAAAGGGCTCAGAATTTCGTGAATAGACTGAAGGAGGCAGAAGAGATGGCATAGGCAGGTATGGCGTCGGGACAGCATGGCATGGAGGAGTATTCAAACAAAAGCCCCAGGGAGGCTGATATTTTTAAATTAGGAGACCGGGTATGGCTAAACTTGAAGAATATTCAGACCCCACAACTATCTAAAAAACTCTCATGGATAAATGCAAAGTACCAAGTAAAAAAAGTCATTGACTGGAATTCAGTCGAATTAAATACGCCACGAGGTATATGGCCACGCTTTCACGTTGATTTGTTAAAAAGGGCAGCTACTGACTCACTACCGTCCCAAATCACTGACGACGCTCAACCTCCACCAGTAAAATCGCAAATACAAGACGGTCAATTAGATAATGAAGAGTCCCAGCAATTTGTCGAGAAAATTTTACAAGCTGAAAATAGGAAAATTGGAAAAGTGCATCGACGCTTGGTCCTAGTTAAGTGGAAAGGATTTGCTGAGCCCACGTGGGAACATAGGGTTAATTTGGAAGAAACTGAAACGCTGGATATTTTTGAAGCACGTTATGGAACAAAAGATAATCTTTGTGAAGATTCTGGTGCAATATTAGGGCGTAGAAAAATAACAAAGCGAGCGCTGCTGGCAGGGTTATGATTATTCACCTAATATTCACACCAAATGGAGAATGGGAGTAGTGTCACAGGCTATTGCCTTGTAGATGGGATCCAGAGTTTATCTGGCTCCTAGGAGTTGATTATGTCAGCAATAAGCGAGACAGCATCTTGGGGGTGATCCCACATGTATGTAGATTTTCTCTTTAGACACAAAATAAGCCCATTTTGGATACACTTGTGCGGACAGCTATTATCTCTGGTGCCATCTTTTAACAGTTCTGAATATCAAATATATCAGAATTTCACATTGATTCATCAATAATCATCCGTATAACTTCTGCCAATTAACCTCCGTAAGCTCTTACCTTTACAACATCTGACCAAGAGCTTCGCCATTTACATAACTGTTTTGGTCATCCAGTGCCGTATTAATTGAAGATCCTGCTCGATCATGCAAGGCATGATGATGTCAAAACTGAATTGCTCGAAGAATTTAGTCGCTTTTGCCACCAGTTCCAAATACAATAGCAAGCCCCTGTCACAGTCTAGGCATAGGCCCTTGGGAAATCTTATAGTCAGAGAAAGCTTTTATTTCAATCTATGGTGAACTATTGAAATGTATAACCCACTACTTAGTTCGTGGACTTTATTGGTAAAGGGAAGCTTATGCAATAATGAAGGATAAAAGGATGTCAATTCGACTACTCTATTAAACACAGGTACCAGACTCCTTTTAACCCCAATAGATAGCCCGTGCAGGATCTCCTATTAACAGCAGTAAACAACGCTAGCACAGGGTATACGCAATCTCCGTTCGCCAAACACCAATCGGTCGGGACTACTAATTATCGAGCCCAGTAGGATCAACATAGTGTATCCCAACACAGAAATCATAGAAAACTCAACAACCAAACCCTTCATCAATTACTTCCATTAAGCATCACCTGACTCATCTCTGAACTCCATAATTTCAACATGAACTATAGATTGAAGAGGATAATAACAATTACTTTATACATGGGTATTATTTCAGCCAATAACGCGGATTTCTATCCGTGTCACTATACCCCCTATTTGTATCAACTTTTATTATAATTATTATTATTTATTTATTTTATTATCCTGTCTGAGTCTATGACTATGTAGGACATGCAGGTCCTCTCAAACAGTACCACCTCTCACAAGTCCTCAATCGATCATACACTTAGAGGAGCCCTTAACCCTTCATTATCTCCCCTCTCCAGCCAACGAAACGATGGCCATTTGCGGGTGTATGGCGGCTGGGAAAAATCGCAAAAGCCACTGGCTGCAGAGCTCTTCTAATACCAATATTAGGACTAAATCCGAAGACATAGTGATCCTTCTGATGCGTTTGAAGAGGCCGGCCAGCTGGGCGCTGCAGACTTGTGGGTACCTCGGGAAATTCACACTCTGCCTTTCTAGCCTCTTTCCAACTCCTACCCAAAGGTCGTGCTGAAATGTCAGAAAAGTCTTGACAGAGCGTGATTGCTATATGGTAGCTTAGCCTAGCTTCTTTTTTGCCGTGCAGGGCGCTGGGGAGTGCCGTTAACTCATCGATAATAGAAGCCCTCCTGGCTTATTAGCCGAAATCTTAGTCTTGGCGCCCACAAAAAATCGAAAGTTGAAAACTCCTCGATAATACCTGTCCTAGCATGGTCTTCAGAGATCTCTTTCCCCTCTCGCTCCACCTCTCAGCCGCCTGTCCTTCCTCAAGATGTATAACCCCATTAGAGCAGCAGTCCCCCATAAACCAAGACCCCAACTTTGTATATTATGACCAAATTTCCTCCTTGCGGGTATACGTAGCGTCGTAAATTTGTAGTGAGTGATGGCTGATGATGAATGAGGCAAGCTCCTGTTTGCAATTGGTGTGACGCCTTTATTGGTTGTCGAGGCGAGATGATGTGTGGTTAGAAAGAGGTTGAGCACTCAGAAGATAATGGTGAGTGCTGGATGGTTGAGAAGTGGTCAAATGGAGATATGCATGTGTTTGCTTTCGACTTCAATTTGGATTTGGATGCAATTCTTCTTGGCTATCCCAGATATGCAGAGCATACTGAGCGATTACACCGGCACCACTGGAAGGTGAAGAATTCGTTTTTTCCGGCTATTTGTATCACCTTCTGTTGGAAATTCCGAATCTTGAATTTAGGACTAAATTATTATTTGATTTGTCTCAGGTTTTCGACAAGATCGACTCTCTCTAAACATGTCCCGAGTGCGCTAATCGCGCCTACTGTCGCCTATACGTTTGGATAATCACGTACTACAAGTGTACCTTGGCTTATCATGGTAGATGAGAGGTGGCTGGTCATCATTAGTTTTGACAGGCACATGAGACTAGTGGGAATTTCTCCCCTAAGATGTATAAGTCCAATGTTCACATAGTTGTAAAATATCAAGTCTTCTTTACTTCATATTTATCCATATAATATTGTACAGAGTATATTTTCCAACATCTTCTCGTATCACATTCTTGCGCCAAATTCCCGGACACTTTACAATATTAATATTGCCCTTCATAAGCCTCTGCTTTTGAGAATATGTTAGACATTAGGAAGTATCTAAGGTTTATTTGGTGTTTGGATCACATTTAGATATATGGGGTCCAATAATAGATTACCTTAAATTAGCTAGTTAAACTCACGGTCCACCTAGAGAAGTGATAACTTCTGGGGATCGATGTTCGGAAGAATAGAATCAAGTTGTTTCTACTGAGTTGTTGATACCCGTAAATATTCTTCAATTGCTACTGGACAGGTTCCCCAGTTTTCTGATAGGATAGGCTCCGCCACGCTTCTGTTCTAAAGCTTGGTTATGAGTGGATAGAGATATACCCGTATTATTGATTGATCAAGCTGGTGTGCAAGCTGGTGAGCTTCTGGGGTCTATCTGTAGGTGAGTCGAGACTGTAGTGGATGAGAAATTAGAATGGTTGATTGATGATATCTACTTGCAGATTTACTACACTGTTATGTACATATCTTCCTCGCCGGTCTTCACTTTACAAAACTACATTAGTTCTTCTCTGACTCCGAAGAGAAATTCCTTGACTCATCTGTGTGTTACAAGCTGCGCCTTACATCCATGTACTTATGCCTATCTATGTACTAATTGCTCATGTTTGTTTCTGGGATTATAAATGATGGCCGATCTGACAAATACAGATCATCAATAGATCACCTCAAGAATGCGGAAGATCATCGATCCAATGCATATTAAACTCCCTGGAGTCAGAGCTACATGTGCATGTGTCCTACAGACTAGATAGATGCAATTTCCTGGATAATTAGAAAATAGACTGTATTACGTGCAGCTTACTTTGCTCTTATTATTTTGGTGATAGCCCATCACACAGTGTCCCTCATCAATTATGTGCCACTACATTCTAGACGTATATTAATGGCATGATACCTCTGATACGAGGCAATCCTTGGCCGTGGCTCCTTAACTCTGTTGCGGCGCTTGTTGTTGCATATTGGCAGGGCATCCCAGGTAAGGGACGTGACGGGCACCAGCCATCTGTTGTTGGCTGACTCATCTGCATCAGATTCATGATATTCACAAAACTCTTCCCACAACAATGAAATAACAGATATGGCTAACATGAGTAGTTGTCTGATGACAAACAAATGAACGAGAATGTCATTGTTTGCCCTCGCATATCCCCGAACTGAACAAAACTCTCTCTTCCTCTCATGATGAAATTAGGCCTGCATGACTGGGCTAATCATTGATTTACGAGTAATGTAAGCCGAGCTTTACGCGTCCATTCCTTTGGCTAAACCTGGCAGGGAAGAAGAGCCGGATGCTGTAGAGTTAATTGATTATTATTCAAAAATCTACATGTTGAAAGTAGATGCTATCCAAAGTATAAGTACGCTGTAGTCTTTCTCCCTGCCATATTCATTATCCAAATTGTCAAGCACTGCTTCTTTGCCTCTCGCTGACAGAAATATCTGCATTGAATAAAAACGCCAGAATCCATTCATTCCCATCCCATCAGGATTTTCTTCCCCAAGTCTTTGATTCTGCAATCAGACAACTCACCGTCTTCAGCACTCAATTTGATCGCTTGAGGACATCGTCCAGATGAAGCTTCTATTTGCTGCTTCCACAGCAGGGCTAGCTGCTCTCTTTCTCCTGGTGCCGACAGCATATGGACTGCAATACTATGAATGTGAAAGTAGCCGAGTATTCGGATATCAAGTAATTAGTAGTTATGCAAAATCAGCTTCCCCCGACATAATCACTGCCAGGGACCCTATTTTTGATGGTGGAGAAATCAAGGGGGCATATCGATTTACAAGTAATCAACCAGATGGAAGTCAGTCTCCCCATTCCTTCGACTTGGCTCTTACTAACCATCATCTTCCATGACTAGCTCCAACAACTTACTTAATCCAAACTGTCAATGTGGAGCCATACCAACGATTGTTTGAATCCTCTGAAGGCCAATGGAGAATATGTAATCCCAAGAATGGCCACTTGTAGGAATAATAATCACGCTTTAATTTCTACCAAAGGGGTATTTACAAGCGAAATATTGAACACAATCATTTGGCAGGGCAGTTAAATCGAGAATGCGATTTTACAAAATGCTCAGTTATCACCGCTCTCTTCTTTGACCAGACCGACTAGATAGACTCGGAGGCCAAAGGCTAACCACCTGCATGCAGTATCCTTTGTTAAAGGAAAGGTGATTGACTTTAGGCAGAGCAGATAGGTGCCGACTAATTGTTTAGTTGAGTGAAATAAATATATTAATCAAGACAAACAAAAAGAAGTAGTTTGTTGGAATTCAGAATAATTGGAGCTATCAAGTGGGCCACGTTGTTGATATACACGTGACTGCAAATTCTATACTTAGTTTCACTTCGGTTGTTAATTGAATCAATGTGCTCCACAACCTCAATGACTGAGAGGTCATTATTTCCTTCAAATAATTGTATATTCTGTTAGAGAAATAGATCATGTCCTAGTAGATAGGACGTAGAACCTCCAGTATCAGATTACACGACTCGTATAGGGGGACTATTCTCAACACCTGTCAGTGGTGTCCCCTACGAACCTCCAGCTCCCACAGTAGAGTCTTCAGAGCCGAGATTGAGTAACAAAGTCCTCACTTCGACGAGGATCCCAAATCGCTTTCGCGGTCTGTATTGTCTTCATCTCTCAACACACTCTCCTATTACCATTATCATGAAACTAACCACGATCAGATCATATGGTAGGGTCGGAGCCCTACTCATCACCAACCCTTGATCATGGAGGAAAAGCCATCCGATGAGTTTCCGGAGCGTACCCAGCACCCGATACAGAGATGGCACATTGGATCAAGTCGACCTCGACTGTTACAAAGAAGGGAGATTTAGATGAATATTTGCACCTCATGTGGTCCGGGTGTCTAGGCCTCGCCTGGCTGGGCCTGCAGGTTTTTTGAGACTTTTTCAGCCGCACGTAGTTTCCATTGCTACCATTTGTTATTTTTTTTGGGTAGAAGGTTCAGTGGAAAAGGTGGCCAAATTCCACGGGTAAACACTGAGCTGAATGGCTATTCATCAAGGGGAATATATCAATGATCTTCCAAGTAACAAATGAGGATAGGAGCACTATACAAGTTATGGCCTGGGTCAGAGAGGAGCCCAATGTGCTAGATAGTCATAGACTTAATTAGTACAATAAAAAACTCACACACGCACGACTCGTATAGTTACGAGCCGTGCACTGTCTCCAAGGTAGATGCGTCAGTTAAAACTCACCGAGTAATGTGAGCGACGAGTCGTAAAGACGATCTGTCAAGTGAAGGAGTAGTCATACTTTGATAACTCAGGTCATTGACAGAGTACTTCCCAATTATAAGAGGGAATGAGGCACGTTGAGAATAGAGTAGATAATTGGAACACAGCTTGGTGGATGGGGACTTCTATAAGACCCGACTCATATCATGTTGATAAATCGGGACTAAGAAGTTTATCTCAGAGTAAAGAAATGTGATTGATTGATTCTTATGCAGTATTCCATCTCTCTTTAAATACAAGTCAATCCGTCCTTCATCCAATCACCCACGTACAGACAATATAATCTCCCCATACTATTGTGCAAGCTTAATGTGTCAAATAGTCCTAAGTATGAAGTAATAACACGATTAGTTCCAATATCGCAAACAGCAACTGTCAGGAGCGACTAATACTAGTACAAGTTTACGAGTTGTAGACAACACTAATATAGATAGTTACAGGAATACGACTCGTACATGATTACATGAGTACAAACAGTTACAGGATATTTTCACAGATAACGTCAGGTAAAACTTTAAGAGCTCAGTATGTCTCACGTGAGATCTTGGCGCACTTAGCCCGCAGGGTTATATGTACTTTCTTGTCAGTTTCACATCGCTTTGGATGCAGGTCATGGTTAGGTTGACATATCACTACTGTGGGACATCAAATCAATCCTGATTCATCTATGCCTTACATTTGCTGTGCAGTGTCTCTTATCAAGTTATTTAAGTGATTAGAGTACCTAAATTTTCATATATTCTGCTAAATCATACAGAAGAAAAAATAATAGTGTATGCTGTGTCCTCCCAAAATAGAAGTGGAGCCATACTAGGACGTATCCATACAAATCATACTGGATAAGCCAAAGTAGAGTTTTAATAGTGAGCATAGGGATTGCATTGGGAAGTCATTACATAATGAAGATAATTGTCACTAATTGTCAAATTACAAAAGCCTTGGCCAAACATAATCATTCTTATACTCTCAACACAATGAAGTTAGGGTTGCGGTAAATGTCACATTAGGAGTATAAGGGTGCAATGGCTGTTAAGCCTTAGGGCTCCTGTAGTCTACGCTGTCTAGTGCAGGCTATTATACGAAGGGAGGTTCCCAGGAAGATCTTGGATGACAGGGAACTGGGATGATTCACATTGAACCTTGTTGAAACATACTGAGAGTTTGTGAGAGTTACAGGAGTATCAAGGATCTCCTAGGTGATTATCAGAGAGTCTAAGCTGTCAAGTAACAGAGAGAACCTTACCAAGGAGGGGTATTTCAGACTGTATATATTGGTAGTCATTAAGTACATGAATTCTCTCTTCAGAGAATTATAATTAAAATATTGTACCTACAACCTTGCTCATGCATTTTGTAATGAAACCGTGATATATTATAATCTCTCTCTCTAATTCAGGATCGCAGTCAGTCGCAGATATTCAGAGCCGCAGTTAGTTCAGATATTCAAAACCTTAATCAGTCAGTCAATCAGTCAATTATGGGGCAGAGATAAAATGGGATCATTGCAATATTACCATGGAGGAAAAAAAATTGTCCTAGGGCAACATGGAAATCGGAGGATCAGCTAGAGAAGCTTCGCATAGAGGGAAGTTGCTTCAGATGTGATGAACAGGGATGCATGTCTAGGGTGCGCCATCTTCTTCCAGCAATTAACCCACGAAGAGCGAAGAAGAGTTTACCTACAGATCCAGCATTATACGAGGTAGATCCGGAGGAGGGCAAGACTGAACACCTTTACGCGGTGTCCTCTACGAACCTGGGAGTGAAATATTCTCCCAGAGCAGAGTTCAGTCAAATTTCGCAATAACAAACAAGTTGGCCGACGAGGCAGTGATTCAAAATACTCTACCATATCAGTGTTTCACTCTCTACGAAATTGATACCTACCTAAGCCTCATCAATTCTACAAGTACGACCTAGTACATCCTTATTCTAATGATCACACCTCTCTTCAACCTTATCTGGCCTCAGCTCGTCACCATTTACACGCCGACGCCGATATTTATACCCACAGGAGGAAGCAAAGTGTGGCGCATAAATCTGGGAGACAGTTCTTTGAGATGGACGTGAGAGGATTCAGGACAATTTCACAAGATGATGCGAAGGATGGATACTGTGATGCCCTGTCATGGTTCCAGTACAAAATGCTTGGGCTCCCTAATAAAGGTGCCACAGACCAGTTTGTCATATTGTATTGCACCTGGCCAATCGCCCCATGAATACACTCAGGAATAGGGTTAGTGCGTTGCGATGGTTACAGTGTTGTGATAGCAACAGTCACTAGTCAAGATACTGATCAGTTGCTATGTAACAGCTGTGGGCTATTGCACCCTTGATTGTACTGACCGGTCTCAGGTACTTAAGGAAGCTCTTGGGATGTATTTGTACTGTAGCTTTTTGTCTTGTATTTTATCTACATCTTAGAATCTCGCCTCTGTCCTATGTCCTAGTCTTCGTCTCTGTCCTCGTCTACATCTCGTCCTCGTCTCAATCTCCGCCCCAATCCCTTTTCTTATAAGTCTCCTGTCCTCCGACCCCTGACAAAAGGATCTGTAGGGATGTTCTCAAGGAGCCGTGTTATTAGTATTCCGTAAGGTACGAATTTGGTACAAGTAGGTTACAGGTGTGGAGTATGGTGGTGATTCCTAAGAGTAGGAGGTATAAATTCAGTGTTAGGTATAGGGTTCACATAAGAAGTAAAGATAAAATGAGTATTAGGTGAGAAGGGTACAATAACGGCGGTCTTCTTTAGAGAAGAGATAAGTGAGTGAACAACAGGTATGAGTATAAACAGAAGACGTTGCGTGATGAAGAATACTCCTTCACGCTGGGTATATATGTACATCAGTTAATAGGACAGCCCTAAGCTCTGTCTCAAACAGTATTACTACGCAATCCCTATGAAACGACCCTATGTTCCTGAGCCTGTCCTAATTGTCTGAGAACTTGATCTAACCCCGAGTTGTGTTTTAGAATGGAACTCCCCATGAGACACCATTCTAGTTTCCGCCACGTTTATCCATGAAAGATGTTGACTGGACGGATCCCAGGCATGTCATGAAAGACATGTCCCATGACATTTTTGAGTCCAAGTTTAGTGCGCAATGTCATTCTCCAAGCAATTGTCACGGTTTCAGTACAAAATGCTTGGGCGATCTTGTAAGTACAGTATATTAATTATAATTCTCTAGAGAGAGAATTCCTATAGCTAGAATACAAATATATATACACTCTGAGATACTCCTCTTCTGTAAGGTTCTCCCTATATCTGGAATAACATGGAATCCTCGACAATACCCTAGAAGATTCTTGATACACCTGTGGTCCTCATGAACCTTCAGTATGCTTCCAGAAAGTTCATTGAGAATCTTCTAAGCTCCTTGTATTCCGAGATCCTTCCCGAAGATTCCCTTGCATTCATTGCCTGCGCTAGCCAGCGTAGGCTACAGGAATCCCTAGGCTTAACAGCCGTTACAGCAATGAATGGGATACCATTACCAAGAATTTCCTTTGGATTAGTCATTTTCATGATACTCAATCTGTGATTTTTCACAATGGTTAGCTAACTCCTGTAAGTACGTGGATGCGCCGGGCTCACAACCTGTTGTGACAGGTCTATGATTTGGGTGTACATACAATTTGTGGGAGTTAGCTGCTAGGGATCACAGATAGGCTGCTGGACTGAACAGGTCA